GGAGCCGGCGTCACTGAACTGCGACGCCGTGGTGCAGTCGCCGACGCCACCCAAGCCCATAGAGGAGCCAGTGGCTCCGGCCGCATCCACCCAGAAGGCAGTGCTCAAATGCTACGCACAGCAGGAACAGAAATCTCCTGGCTACGAGACGGAATTGAAGACGAGCGCCACATTGGATGGCCTTGTGCAGACGAACTCCATAACGACGCTGCAGTTGCAGCAGCAGCAGCAGCAACAGGAGCCGCTCTACAGCGAACACATCTTCGAGAAGCAGTCGGAGCCACAGCCCCAGCTGGAGAAACCGAAAGCCAACGATCTCATGCTCATTGACTCCACGTCGTGCCAACAGCAACAGCAGCAGCAGCAACAACAACAACAGCCACAGCATATGGATATCGTTAGTAATGGATTTCAGCTAACATCTAACGAGAGCTGCCTGCTGGAGAAGAATGGCTTCCATGTGGAGGCTGTGACCATGGAGACGGACGATCATTACGACAGCCTGAAGAACGGCAGCGGCACTGAGGGGCTGAGTCAAGTGGATGATGCCGATGAGGATGAGGAAGACGACGATGATTTTAGCTTGAAGATGGCAACGTCGGCATGCAATGATCACGAGATGTCCGACAGCGAGGAGCCGGCGGTAAAGGAGAAGATCAGCAAGATTCTGGACAACCTGACAAACGATGATTGTGCCGACTCAATAGCCACGGCGACGACAGTCGAAGCGAGCGCTGGTTATCAGCAAATGGTCGAGGATGTGCTGGCCACGACTGGCGCCGGCTCCGTGGCTACGGATGACGAAGCCTTCACGGCCACAGCAGAGGAGACGGCTGCAGTGGAAGCAGCGGCCAGCTACATCAACGAAATGGCCGAAGCCCATGAGCTGCAGCTGAAGCTACAAGCGGACGTTGAGCTGGAGCTGAAGAAACCCAAACTCGACCTGCCGCAGCAGCCAGAGGCCGTGCAGCCTAATGCTATGCCCACAGCCGCTGCCCCAGAGCAGCCGCCGCCAGTGCGCGACCCCAAGAAGATTAGTGGACCCCATCTGCTGTACGAGATACAAAGCGAGGACGGCTTCACCTACAAGTCGAGCTCCATTGCCGAGATATGGGAGAAGGTGTTCGAAGCTGTGCAGGTGGCACGACGTGCTCACGGTCTGACGCCCCTGCCAGAAGGACCACTGGCCGACATGAGCGGAGTGCAAATGATTGGGCTCAAGACGAACGCGCTCAAGTATCTGATCGAGCAGTTGCCGGGCGTCGAGAAGTGCGTCAAGTACACGCCCAAGTATCACAAGCGCAACGGCAATGTGTCCACAGCTGCCGGAGCTGGACATGCGGCCAGCGGGGCGTCTGGCAACAGTGCAGCACTTCTTGGCACTGGCACGGATGGCCAGCCGATTATAGACTACGGCTCTGATCCGGAGGAGCTGCAGGAGAACGCATACGAGTGCGCACGCTGCGAGCCCTATAGCAGTCGCTCCGAATACGACATGTTTAGCTGGCTAGCGTCCAGGCATCGCAAGCAGCCCATCCAGGTGTTTGTGCAGCCTTCCGACAACGAACTGGTGCCCAGGTAGGTCACATCTGTTTGAGTGATATGCGAGCTGAACTAATTCACGATTTACTTTGTAGACGCGGAACGGGAAGCAATCTTCCCATGGCCATGAAGTACCGTACGCTGAAGGAGACCTACAAGGATTACGTGGGCGTTTTCCGCTCTCACATCCATGGACGCGGTCTCTACTGCACTAAAGATATCGAAGCGGGTACGTGATGTCCTTGCACCTTCTGTCAATTGAAGCTGATTGTTGAGCAATGATTTTTTCACAGGTGAAATGGTCATCGAGTACGCTGGAGAACTGATACGCTCTACGCTGACGGACAAGCGGGAGCGGTATTATGACAGCCGCGGCATTGGCTGCTACATGTTCAAGATTGACGACAATCTCGTTGTGGACGCCACAATGCGTGGCAATGCGGCACGTTTTATCAATCACTCTTGTGAGGTGAGTGGGAATGCCTTAGATTGATCCAATAAATAGATGATATAATTGGAATGATTTTTTCTTCCACAGCCGAATTGCTACTCGAAAGTCGTCGATATACTTGGACACAAGCACATCATCATCTTCGCCCTGCGTCGCATCGTGCAGGGCGAGGAGCTGACCTATGACTACAAGTTTCCCTTTGAGGATGAGAAAATACCCTGTTCATGCGGCTCAAAGCGTTGCCGCAAGTACTTAAACTAGGCCAGATCTATATGCATATAGAATACAAATAAGGGACGGCGCAGCGCGCTCGCCCAGGACATACTCAATGAAGAAGACGACAAACAAGCAACATATGTAGTTAACGGTTATTTCGATCTTATTTTTGGTCAATCGTGATACATTTCATTTGATAGCATATATTTTAAGTAGACGTAGATAAAACAGTTATACACGTAAGAGTTAAACGTTGATATTATATAAAATATATATCCCATACATATTCGTATATAAACGACTAATATTCTAACACTATAACGCGACTTGTGCTCATATATATATGTGGCAAACCCATTGATATAATCTGTACGAAATATATATTTTATCATGTATCTAAAGGGTGTACATTTACACTGTAACACACTCACACAAACACACCAACACACACACATATACAATAATATGGAACAACTCGATGATTTCAGTATTCGACGAAGATGGTTTAACTGTATATGAACTATGTTTAAAATATATGCATTATACATATGTATTAGCTACCAGATATGAAATTCAGTATACTAAGGCTTGACAGATTCTATATATATATATATATTAAAATAATTAACCTAGGCATAATAATGTTGCAAATCGCGCGATCAAGATCAATATATGTACATGTATACCTGTTTGGTCAGATTATCAATCCATGAATGGCCAAATCGGTGGACAACCATTTAATGATTATTTACAGGGGCTTGTGTTAGATTGTATATAAAGAAACAAAAATGAACATTGAATTAAATATAAAGTGTTAGGTAATTAAATATTTACGCATAAGAAGCAACAAATCTCTAATTATAATGGAAGCCGATTAAACTATTTTATTGTAGATATATGCGCACTTGCAAATTGAGTATTTATGTTTGTTGCAATTGAACTTACTAACTAACTATTACAAATAATAATAATCCACTGGCCTAATCTAATACATACATATATATACATATATACTTAAACATGCATACACACCACAAACACGCATACACATATGTATGTTAGTATTGGCTAAACGAGAAGTAACTAAGCATCACCTTTGAAATTATTTTGTGAACAGAAAACACCAATGTAATTGTAAAGAAGCGATAAACAAACGCAGAATTATACAATAGTTTTCAAATGAGCACGTATTCGTGTGATTTATTTATGTATTCGTATCAATTTTTAAATTCTTTAAAAATTCGTGTAATTCGTAATTCGTTTGTCGTCGCTTGAAAACAAAAGATTGTGTTCTAAATTTAAAACTAGTTTAAATATGTCAATATGTAAAATTGTTCTTTTATTTTTTATGCGTCACATCAGCCTCTTATTGCCGGCTTTTACAAGTAATCCTTATTTATTAAGCAGCTCCCTTGTATTCTACTAGTTGTAATATGTATTGATTCGGTTAAGCCTACTTTTAGCTCGTTTTATATTT